TTCTGTTTGATAACTGTCAGCCTAATGGTGCTGGAATTCTCTTATGCTTTAATAGTGTTATGCATTTCTTGACCACGTTTCTGGTGCATATATTTTAATGGTGGCAATATGAGTGCATACTCNCCTAATGGTGCTGGAATTCTCTTATGCTTTAATAGTGTTATGCATTTCTTGACCACGTTTCTGGTGCATATATTTTAATGGTGGCAATATGAGTGCATACTCAAACCATTTAAGGTTCCACCCGGAAACCTGACGTTTGACCCATGTATTCCCTCCACTTTTTAATCTTGATTTGATATATAACATTCCTTTTAAGTTCTGTTACGGTCATGAACAATAATTGGTGTTGCTATTTGCCAGTCCTTTTGTAAATCAGCAAGGTTTAACCGCCTTTAGATGGGCAGCCCAGGGCACGAGGGTCTCGCTACTGCAAGGTCTGGGACGGGGAGGTTCAGATATACGCATAGTTACTTTTGAATGCATACAGAGATGCTGTTTCTATGACTTACCCCTTTGATGCTTAGGTCAGAATGGAGCAGCCTTACTGCTCCACCCAGACCCACTGTATTAGTGCAATAGTTTTCGATTGTCTTACCATGATATCTAAGAGGGGAGTGAAAAGGATTTGGATAAAGCTTGGAATTGGAACTTATCAGGTTTATTTTGGTATTTTAGTTATTAGTGGGTTTAGAATATTCACGTGTGGAAAAGGATAAAAGAGTTGGGATCCAGAGATTCCGGGTAATAGGTCATTTGTATGGTATGAATGCAGAAACTTCCTCTAGAGAATAGTATATTATGTAGGCCACGGTTCGAAGTATCAGCTGAGTCATATCCACCTCAGCCAACACTAATTCAATACCGAGACACGATACAAAAAAATCCCGAGTCTCTTCTGAATCGGTTTCAACTTGGTAAAACTCAGTCAAATCACCTTTCGAAATCGATTTGCACCAATTCAAACCGAGTCGTTCACCCTCACCCAAACACCAACAGACCAGAGAACAACCAAAAAAAAAAAAGGAAAAGAAGATAATAGAAGATGAAAGTAGAGAACATGCCAAAAAATTAGAAATTAGATGACCCACAAAAAATAAACAGATTTGGCATTTGCAAAATTGAAGCAAGACATACGGCATACCTGTCAAGAATTGTAGTCCTGAGNAAATTAGAAATTAGATGACCCACAAAAAATAAACAGATTTGGCATTTGCAAAATTGAAGCAAGACATACGGCATACCTGTCAAGAATTGTAGTCCTGAGTCCGTAGAAACTAGAAAGCCCCTTTCTTCTTCTTGTTGGGAGCGAAAAGTATAAACCCTAAACCCTAGCATCGTCTCGTCGAAGTTCGAACCTCCATGTCATTTATGGCGAGTAGCGAAGCTACATCACTATCTTTCTATATCAATCTTGCGCCCTCGGTGACCAACGAGACCCACAGTCTCTCTCTCTCTCTCTCTCNTCTTGACCACGTTTCTGGTGCATATATTTTAATGGTGGCAATATGAGTGCATACTCGAACCATTTAAGGTTCCACACGGAAACCTGACGTCCATGTATTCCCTCCACTTTTTAATCTTGATTTGATATATAACATTCCTTTTAAGTTCTGTTATGGTCATGAACAATAATTGGTGTTGCTATTTGCCAGTCCTTTTGTAAATCAGCAAGGTTTAACCGCCTTTAGATGGGCAGCCCAGGGCACGAGGGTCTCGCTACTGCAAGGTCTGGGACGGGGAGGTTCAGATATACGCATAGTTACTTTTGAATGCATACAGAGATGCTGTTTCTATGACTTACCCCTTTGATGCTTAGGTCAGAATGGAGCAGCCTTACTGCTCCACCCAGACCCACTGTATTAGTGCAATAGTTTTCGATTGTCTTACCATGATATCTAAGAGGGGAGTGAAAAGGATTTGGATAAAGCTTGGAATTGGAACTTATCAGGTTTATTTTGGTATTTTAGTTATTAGTGGGTTTAGAATATTCACGTGTGGAAAAGGATAAAAGAGTTGGGATCCAGAGATTCCGGGTAATAGGTCATTTGTATGGTATGAATGCAGAAACTTCCTCTAGAGAATAGTATATTATGTAGGCCACGGTTCGAAGTATCAGCTGAGTCATATCCACCTCAGCCAACACTAATTCAATACCGAGACACGATACAAAAAAATCCCGAGTCTCTTCTGAATCGGTTTCAACTCGGTAAAACTCAGTCAAATCACCTTTCGAAATCGATTCGCACCAATTCAAACCGAGTCGTTCACCCTCACCCAAACACCAACAGACCAGAGAACAACCAAAAAAAAAAAAAGGAAAAGAAGATAATAGAAGATGAAAGTAGAGAACATGCCAAAAAATTAGAAATTAGATGACCCACAAAAAATAAACAGATTTGGCATTTGCAAAATTGAAGCAAGACATACGGCATACCTGTCAAGAATTGTAGTCCTGAGTCCGTAGAAACTAGAAAGCCCTTTTCTTCTTCTTGTTGGGAGCGAAAAGTATAAACCCTAAACCCTAGCATCGTCTCGTCGAAGTTCGAACCTCCATGTCATTTATGGCGAGTAGCGAAGCTACATCACTATCTTTCTATATCAATCTTGCGCCCTCGGTGACCAACGAGACCCACAGTCTCTCTCTCTCTCTCTCTCTTGTCTGACGACTGAAGGTTGAGTCTCGAATAGAGACTATTTTACTTTTTTTTTTCCTTTTTTAATTGTTTTTCCTTTTCTTATTTTTCCCCAAGGACCCAACTCTCTTTCTCTTTCTTCCTCTTTCACAAAGGTCTCAAACCGAGACCCCAGTGTCGGTTTTAAGTTTTTTTTTTTTGAGTCCAATTCTTCTAATTTTTTATTTTCTGTTATTTATCACATACTTCAATTAGAACTTAAGAATCAACATTTAACTTAACTTTCAAAAATTATAAATTAAATACTTAAATTGAATACTGATAGTGATAATTATTTTCGATAATGCCCTCATGTTTCATTTTAATTATGTTTAATGTGTTTTTGAATGTATTGTGTATATATATGATACATGAATAATGATGTTTATTTTTTTAAAAAAAATTTTATGATTATTTCAAAAATTTTTTGGAGCTTCTATCTACTGTTTTAAGCGTATCAGCCAATATCGTGTTGCGATGCCACGACCGATGTGTATTGGTGCCCTCTAAGTTGATGGCCGATACCACGACTTTGAACCATGATGTAGGCAAACTTCTAAACTGGCACTGTCTGCCCAATAATGGGAAGTGGTGGGAGAGGTTATTTAAATATCAGAGAAGAGGATGTTTGAGCTATTAACTAACACATTAAGGGTGTTTTGGGAAAATAATAAGCTGAACGTCTTAGTATCCAATTTCCTATATTTCCATTTTGCTGCTTATGTAATACATAAATGAAAAGTATGATGAAACCACCAGTTGTTATTTGGTAAACTAACCCTTTCTCTTTCTTTCCACTTTGTAGATATACAATTATCAAGGAGTTGTCAATGAAGACTACAATATAGTGAACACACCTGCACCAAATGGTAAATCTAGATCTATTTTGAACTAGATATAGTTGGCCAGTTGTGAACTTTTCTGCTAATATTGCAAGGCATTTCTTGTCTCCACTTTTTTAGACATACAAGCAGCTACTCCCGCTGCCGTCATCCAGAATGATGTTGGAGAAGATGATGAGGATGAGCCCTTGAATGAAAATGATGATGATGATTTGGATGAAGTGGACCAAGGGGAGGAGCATAACCCAAATCATTTAGTTTTGGCCCAGTTTGACAAGGTTTAGTTCTACTGCTAACATAGATAGTTCACGTGTCACATGTATGTTTATGTTGACAATACTTAACGACATAATACAAATGTGTTGGCAGGTGACGCGCACCAAGAGCAGGTGGAAATGTACTCTAAAGGATGGCATTATGCACATAAACAATAAAGACATTCTCTTCAATAAGGTTCCTTTCATTGACCTAATCTTCAAACGTATGTTATATCTGCTGTTTCATTCAAACATTTAATTGTGATGCTGCCTTTCTTCTTCAGGCGACAGGAGAGTTTGACTTCTGATTTTGTTGAAGAGATCTCAGTTGCCAACAATGGCAATTGCATTTGAAGGCAAATCTGAAATATGAATGTGTTTTGCAATTTGCCATAAATTATTATCTTTGAATGGAAAACTTTGAGGGAAGAGGATGAGGTGCCATTCGAGGGGTTAGATGGGTGGCCAGTTGTACATAAAGGGAGAGTTTTTGGCCCTAAATGGTTGTTTTTTTCCCTTCCTGAAGCTAAACATTTCTCTAATGGAATGTGTAATTCAATCTACTGTATACTTGGTGACATATTGGTTAATTTACAAAGCAATTGTGTTTTTGTCTTCCATTTCTTTTATGAAGTTCTGGGCATTTGAAAACAATAAAAATGTTGGCCGTGGTCTTTGTCCTGCCTTTGCTCAGTTTTAACTCTCTGTGGCAGGAGAGCAATCTGCTTCGAGTCATAACAAGAATTGGAGCATGAACTGCGTAGTAACACTATTTGTGGGTCTGTTAGGTTCCCGCAAATCAAAATCACCAAAGTGAATTGGGTTTACATAATTATAGGAGGATGGTTCCATGGACGAAACCATCCAATTCCTCCTTTTCAANACAAGAATTGGAGCATGAACTGCGTAGTAACACTATTTGTGGGTCTGTTAGGTTCCCACAAATCAAAATCACCAAAGTGAATTGGGTTTACATAATTATAGGAGGATGGTTCCATGGACGAAACCATCCAATTCCTCCTTTTCAACAATTTAAGCAGAGGATAGGAGAAAGTTGAGCTGCGCATCCCTCACATCTTATGGCAGGTTTCTCAATTGTTGTTTGTCTATTTTTGAGTCGATGAAACTTTGGTCGTTTAGTTGTTCTTAAATGTGCTATCATGAATAGTTAATTTTGTGTACATAACATTACTCTTATATATTGTTATTAAGACAAATGATAGACTGATTAAAGCATACGTTTTTTATTCTTTCTTACATAGCACAGCAAGACCATCATCTTGAGGTTAAAGCTGGTCTGTTCTAAAATCTTAGGAAACAAAGAAAAGAGAAGGAATAGGAATGTGGTAATGAATAGATCACAACATAACCAAAGCAACCAGCATTACAGTGAAACAACTGTTGCAAAACCAAAAGTGGCCGGAGCTGCGACGCAAGTGCCTGTCAAAACCTCACTGCACCCGGTTAACAATTGTGCATTGTGATTGGAAAAAAGCCAAGAGAGTTGAAGGTTCTGTCAATGCGTCCACGGCTGGATGTTGCCATCCACCTGATGCCGGGGTTGCACCCAACTCATTATGATCTCGTTCATCGTTGCCATTACCTGCTAATCGAATCTCTTCTGCCTCATGCGAAAACTGGGGAGAAAGTACAAGTGGAGATAACAATGGAATTGCACAGGAAGAGGAAGCATAAGGTTCGGTATTGCCATTGTTCTCGATTCCATCAAGCTGAAGAGCTGCAGGTGCGTGTTTTTGCAGCCTGGTAGGGGACTTTCCACTTGGGGGTCGTGCCCCGGGACCGGCCTCTTTGTCGCTGTTCTCCATTGATGAAGAAGAATGTAAACTCGAAACCACAAATTGACAAGACGAGAGGATTGTGTTTCAGCCTATGTTTCTCTCAATGGCATAAACAACTTTATGGTATTGATTTAGATTTGATGGAGCTAGAGAAAAATGGAGGATAGAGAGGGGATGGTATCATGGTAATAAATAAGACTTCGTCTTGAGGAGCGGAAAGTATGGGGGCTGTTAGGGAGGTGAAAGGTCAGGAGGGGTATGCCATTCCACTTGTCAATCCTGTCCTGCAAAGGATATGCATGAAAGGTGTCATTTTTGGCTTCTGTGGCTCTTATTTTTCTCTTTATTTTTGGGTGATTATGTGATTAAATCAAAAAGAAAAAAAAATTTAAACCATGGTTTCATTTTGATGTCAGGGGGGCTTCCTGTCTTAATTTAGCCAAAATACAATTGGAATGTTTCTCTCTCCCATTTTATAAATGTGTTTTAATTTAATGTATCTACAGAACAAGAAAGAAAAAGAGAAATGGAATAGATGACAAACCTAATGAGAATTATTTATTTATTTATTTTTAACAGGTTCAAACTTTACCTTTTTTTATACTAGATTTATAGAGTTACTTGTGAGTGGAAAATATTGACTCAATCATACTCCCTAAATATGGGGTAATGTATTCATTCCTAAACAACACATGGGTTTTTATGTATTTAATCAAAAAATTTACATATTTCTGTATTGTTTTCCAAAACAGAAAAAAAAAAAAAAAATCCTAATCCGTCCTTGTGGGAAGTCCAAGGTGATCATACGAAAACAATTGTTAACTATTGCATTTTCGTCGAGATTGAAATTAAAAATTTAATTCAAACGAAAAAATGTGAATTTTTATTTGCTCGTCCTCGTTTGAATTATTAAAGTTTTTAGGTTAATTGAACTAGAAGTCCTAAAATATAGAGTTTATTTTATTTTGGTCATAAATATTTTAATTACATCTATTGAATATATTTTTATGTGGTATTTCGAATAAACAACGTCCAGTTTATTAACGATTTTTAATTATAAACTTGTCACGTAATATTTAAACATGGGCAAAAAAATAATTTGTAATAACTGTTGACCAAATTTTTATCCAAATTTAAGTTAAAGAACTATTTAAATTACACAATTTTGATAACGAATTATCCAAATTTTTGTCAAGAGCTATTTATATTACACATTTTTTTTTATCAAGAGCTATGTATCATGTAATAAGTTTATAATAAAAAATTATTAATAATTTGGACGTTTTATGTTTTAAAGACTGCACAAAAATATATTTAATATTAAGTTAATTGTATTAGAAGTCCCCAAAGTATGAGATTTGTCTCATTTTGGTCCCTAATGTTTCAATTGTAACATAAAATCCCTGAAGTATTAAATATATTTCTATATGGTCCCTCAAACAAACAGCGTCTAGATTTTTAATAATTTTTTTATCATAAACTTGTCACGTGATACTTATATGTGAAAAAAAAATTTTGGATAACTCTTGATCAAATTTTTATTTAAAATTTGGTTAAATATCTACCTAAATTACACAATTTTAATTATAAACTATCCAAATTTTAATCAAAAGCTATCACGTGATACTTAAATATGAACAAAAAAAAAATTGGATAATTCTTGACTAAATTTTTATTCAAATTTTAGTTAAATATATACTTAAATTACATAATTTTGATCATAAACTATCCAAATTTTGGTTAAAAGTTACCTATATTTGATATTACACATTTTTTTGTCAATAACTACCCAAACTTTGTTTAAGAGCTATCAAAATTATTTTTTGTCTATATTTAGGTATCACATGACAAGTTTATGATAAAAAATCATTAGTAATTTGGACGTTGTCTGCATGAGGGATAATATAAAAATATATTCAATATTTCAGAGACCAAAATGATATAATTGAAATATTTGAGACCAAAATAAGATAAATATCATATTTTGAGGACATCTAGTACAATTAAACTTTCAATATTTAAAAACTAAAATAATAAAATATTGATACATAAAAATACATTCAATATTTAGAAGCTAAAATAATAAAATATTGGGACCAAAACGACACAAACTCTTAATCCAAGTTTTTACAAGCGAAGTAGCAGACCCACTCAAACGACAAAAAGTAAAACGCAATAAAGCAACAAAATGAGACCACAGATTCATAGCCGATAAGGAGTGCATATATATAGCAGTGTAAACCACCGTAATCTGTCTCTCTCTACAATATTGATCATCTCAGATGGCGTTTACTGCTTCGACTCGACCTTTGTTGAACCTTCAGCTATCACGATTGCAGCCACTACCACTTCATCAATCCAAGAAATCAAAAACCCTCTTCCCTAACAATTACACCAACTTCAACTGCCCACACCCATGTTCCAGAAGCAACTTATCATCTTCCTCNGACCAAATTTTTATCCAAATTTAAGTTAAAGAACTATTTAAATTACACAATTTTGATCATGAATTATCCAAATTTTTGTCAAGAGCTATTTATATTACACATTTTTTTTTATCAAGAGCTATGTATCATGTGATAAGTTTATAATAAAAAATTATTAATAATTTGGACGTTTTATGTTTTAAAGATTGCAAAAAATATATTTAATATTGAGTTAATTGCATTAGAAGTCCCCAAAGTATGAGATTTGTCTCATTTTGGTCCCTAATGTTTCAATTGTATCATTAAATCCTNTCTGTTGGTCAACTTAGATATTCCATATACACGAAAATGCCCATGATCTCCGGTGGTGGACTGAGATTGAAGGTAAACATGCAGAAACTGAATGCTTTTGCTTGTATTCTGTTTCTTTATCTGTTTTTGAATGATTACTGTGATCACTTTGTATAATTGACTTTATGGTAGGTTCGAANTCTGTTGGTCAACTTAGATATTCCATATACACGAAAATGCCCATGATCTCCGGTGGTAGACTGAGATTGAAGGTAAACATGCAGAAACTGAATGCTTTTTCTTGTATTCTGTTTCTTTATCTGTTTTTGAATGATTACTGTGATCACTTTGTATAATTGACTTTATGGTAGGTTCGAGNAGATTTGTCTCATTTTGGTCCCTAATGTTTCAATTGTATCATTAAATCCTTGAAGTATTAAATATATTTCTATATGGTCCCTCAAACAAACAGCGTCTAGATTTTTAATAATTTTTTTATCATAAACTTGTCACGTGATACTTAAATGTGAAAAAAAAAAATTTGAATAACTCTTGATCAAATTTTTATTTAAAATTTGGTTAAATATCTACCTAAATTACACAATTTTAATTATAAAATATCCAAATTTTAATCAATCACGTGATACTTAAATATGAACAAAAAAAAAATTGGATAACTCTTGACCAAATTTTTATTCAAGTTTTAGTTAAATATATACTTAAATTACATAATTTTGATCACAAACTATCCAAATTTTGGTTAAAAGTTACCTATATTTGATATTACACATTTTTTTGTCAATAACTACCCAAACTTTGTTTAAGAACTATCAAAATTATTTTTTGTCTATATTTAGGTATCACATGAAAAGTTTATAATAAAAAATCATTAGTAATTTGGACGTTGTCTGCATGAGGGATAATATAAAAATATATTTAATATTTCAGAGACTNTAATTTTGATCATAAACTATCCAAATTTTGGTTAAAAGTTACCTATATTTGATATTACACATTTTTTTGTCAATAACTACCCAAACTTTGTTTAAGAGCTATCAAAATTATTTTTTGTCTATATTTAGGTATCACATGACAAGTTTATGATAAAAAATCATTAGTAATTTGGACGTTGTCTGCATGAGGGATAATATAAAAATATATTCAATATTTCAGAGACCAAAATGATATAATTGAAATATTTGAGACCAAAATAAGATAAATATCATATTTTGAGGACATCTAGTACAATTAAACTTTCAATATTTAAAAACTAAAATAATAAAATATTGATACACAAAAATACATTCAATATTTAGAAGCTAAAATAATAAAATATTGGGACCAAAACGACACAAACTCTTAATCCAAGTTTTTACAAGCGAAGTAGCAGACCCACTCAAACGACAAAAAGTAAAACGCAATAAAGCAACAAAATGAGACCACAGATTCATAGCCGATAAGGAGTGCATATATATAGCAGTGTAAACCACCGTAATCTGTCTCTCTCTACAATATTGATCATCTCAGATGGCGTTTACTGCTTCGACTCGACCTTTGTTGAACCTTCAGCTATCACGATTGCAGCCACTACCACTTCATCAATCCAAGAAATCAAAAACCCTCTTCCCTAACAATTACACCAACTTCAACTGCCCACACCCATGTTCCAGAAGCAACTTATCATCTTCCTCTGTTGGTCAACTTAGATATTCCATATACACGAAAATGCCCATGATCTCCGGTGGTAGACTGAGATTGAAGGTAAACATGCAGAAACTGAATGCTTTTTCTTGTATTCTGTTTCTTTATCTGTTTTTGAATGATTACTGTGATCACTTTGTATAATTGACTTTATGGTAGGTTCGAGCTTCTTCAGCTTCAGGGGAAGAAGCAAAGTCGCTTGATTCTGACTCAGCATATCAAGAGGTTTTTGCTTGGTCATCTGTTATTGTGCCGTACGTTCTTTAATTGTTTAAACTTTTTTTGTTTTTGCTGATAATGGTTGACGTTCTTTAATTTCTAAGTTTCTCTTGATTTGTTCTTTTCATTTGTCAATGAGGGTGAGTACCAATTTCTTTTAATTTAGTTGTTAAGATTATATATTTGTTAATGGTAGGGTACTCTATCTTTTCATTTTCTTCTTTGAATTTTTTGACAGGTAATTGATTACTTATATTTGATCGATTAGTGGCAATTTTATCATTCCTTCTGTTTCCGATATAGAAAATTGGAAGTGCAAATTTTCTGTTTAAAGGCTTTGGACTGGGCCTGCAACCCCAAAAAGAAAAGAAAAGAAAAGAAAAGTTGGCATTTAGAAAGTATTTCTCTTGCTAATTAAAGTTGAAGAATCGCATACTGTGCTTTTGAAAGCATGTCCAGATTAATGGTATAGAATCCTATGCTCCGTAATTGGGAGAATAAAGAAAAGTAATGGATTATGGTTCCATCATACCAACAAATTATGTGTTGCTGAAGTTTCTGATTTCTTTTTACATGAATTTTTGGTTTTCGATTGTGAAGAAATCGAACATTTTTCAGTAACTTGTTTAATTGATTTCAGGTTTCTCTTCCCAGCTTTGGGTGGTTTATTATTTGGCTATGACATTGGTGCAACCTCTGGTGCTACAATCTCATTGCAAGTACAGTTTAAATTTTGTGTATCTTAAGTTTGTCAATTTGGTTGACTATCTTGCAGCAATAATTTTGAAATATATTGTTTAGTTCAGTTCTACTTGTCTTGATGATTTTGTAGTCACCTGAGCTCAGTGGCATAACTTGGTACAATCTCTCAGCGGTTCAGCTTGGTTTGGTGGTATGGTTTATTTTCATTGTAGTGAAAAGCTCATATTATGTTCTGATAGTCTCCAGTCAACGATGTCTGCCCTTTTCTTACATTAGCTTGAATGTAGGTCAGTGGTTCTCTTTATGGGGCTCTTCTTGGTTCTCTTCTTGTCTACCCAATTGCAGATTTCCTAGGTACATTTCTTCCTTATGTCTTTCATTGTAAATTTTTAGTAGACCTTCTAATTATTTTTTCGCTTGACTTAATTAATGAAGGGAGAAGGCGGGAACTTATATTAGCTGCAGTTTTATATGTGCTCGGTGGTTCGATAACAGCCTATGCTCCAGCCCTTTATGTTCTTTTAATAGGCCGACTTCTTTATGGCCTTGGTATTGGTTTGGTGAGCATCCTTGGAGCTTTCTGTATCTTCTTATGATTGAGTTAGCTGATAACCTTATAGGGTGAGAAATTTTGCTTCAGTTTCTGATTTTTTTTTTATAGGCCATGCATGGGGCTCCTCTCTACATTGCTGAGACGTGCCCATCTCAAATTCGTGGAACTCTTATTTCTTTAAAGGAACTCTTCATAGTATTGGGGATTTTGGTATATATTATTATCTTGTTATTTTATTCCGTTTTCTAATAAAGCAATGTTGAGCGTTGAATGATAAATTTTCCTGCAGTCTGGTTATTTTGTAGGTAGTTTTCAGATAAATGCAATTGGGGGGTGGCGTTTCATGTACGGATTTAGTGCGCCAATTGCTTTGTTAATGGGATTAGGCATGTTGAGTCTACCGCCATCTCCACGTTGGTTACTTCTCAGGGCGGTTCAAGGCAAAGGATCCTTCCAGGAGTACAAGGAGAAGGCTGTCATTGCTTTGAGCAAACTAAGGGGCAGACCTGCTGGTGACAAAATATCCGAGAAGCAAGTAGAAAACACCCTTGTCTCGTTGAAATCTGCCTATACCGATCAAGAATCTGATGGAGGTTTCTTGGAGGTGTTTCAGGGATCAAGTTTGAAAGCATTTATAATAGGTGGAGGCTTAGTCCTTTTTCAACAGGTTATTTTCCATATATGTCACTGCAAGCTGTCATTTTGCTTTGATTCTTCACCCTTCTATTTTACTTCACCAAGTGTAGGAAACTTCTGGATGATAAAATGACTTACTCCCTGATTATGGCAGATAACTGGGCAGCCAAGTGTCCTATATTATGCCGGTTCAATACTTCAGGTAGTTGATACTTGATACTTGAAAATCAAATGTTTTTCTGTTGTGCTTACCTTGCTGCTTTTCTTTTCTTTTCTTTTTTTTTTTGGATCCAACCATTCTTCTTGACCATATGGTATTTTTATGACAACTTATCTCAAGACTGCTGGATTCTCTGCGGCTTCTGATGCTACACGAGTTTCAGTCATCATTGGTGTGTTTAAGGTATGTTCATTAAGTAAGGAACCCCCAAAAGGAAAACATTAATTTTTTGAAATTTGTGCTGAGAATTCACATAACGAAGAAATTTAAATTCTCCCCGTCCAGAAGGTGCTATTTGCAGTTCTGTCAATAGAGGTTTTTTTTTTTTTGGGAAAAAAATTATATGTATCTGCAGTTGTTGATGACAGGAATTGCTATCCTGAAAGTTGATGATCTTGGGAGGAGACCCTTACTGATTGGAGGTGTCAGTGGGCTTGTATGCATCCTAACCCTGATACGCTTTTAATGTGTTTGACTTTTTGGTGTGACTTACATTACTTATTGAATAAGAAGATGATGAAGAATTTCATTCTGCTGTTGCTCTCTGTCTACAGGCCCTTTCATTACTCCTCCTTTCAGCTTATTACAAAGTACTTGGAGGGATCCCTTTTGTTGCTGTAGCCGCTTTACTTCTCTATGTTGGCTGCTACCAGGTAACTGTCTATTGACTCTTGCCTGCAATACTCCCGTGACATTTTAATATTTTTTTTCTGATTAATGAACGATTTTCTGTCAGAATAAACTCTAATAAGAAGTTCCAAAATTGAATCCACATTTTGATGAGCAGTATTTTGTGTCAATACCAAGTTAACTCATTCATATATGTTTTTTTCAAATTGCNTTTCTGTCAGAATAAACTCTAATAAGAAGTTCCAAAATTGAATCCACATTTTGATGAACAGTATTTTGTGTCAATACCAAGTTAACTCATTCATATATGTTTTTTTCAAATTGCATTTTAGATATCTTTTGGACCTATCAGTTGGCTAATGGTATCTGAGATATTTCCGCTTCGCACTAGAGGGAAGGGAATTAGTCTTGCAGTTCTTACAAACTTTGGTTCTAATGCCATTGTGACCTTTGCTTTTTCACCATTGAAGGTATTGATTACAGTTCCATGACCATGGTTTTCATTTTGTTATATGAGCTGTATGGTCACCTAATATGTGCTAGATGGTCTTGGAGTTCCCATATTATTGCTCTCTATTTCTGTAGGACTTGCTGGGGGCAGAAAATCTTTTCCTTCTTTTTGGAGCAATTGCTTTGCTATCGCTTCTCTTTGTGGTACTAGTTGTTCCAGAGACGAAAGGATTGAGCTTGGAAGAAATTGAATCCAAAATCTCGAAGTGAAAGCTAAAATTTGGCAGAGCTATCATAATGACCTTCCAGTTTCCGAAACTTGGTTAATTTGTAAACCTATTTTTCAGTGTGGCATTAGGAGGTCGTCATGACCATTATTACTGTGAATCTGGTGTATCACTCTTATTTATTTATTTTTTTTTTTCACTTATCACATGTGTATGAAAACGTAATTCTACTAGTTGTCCATTTTATTTTTATTTTAAATTTTTTTCTGAGGTTTGACTACAACCAAGGTGGCTTATACTGGCGTTGAACCTTTTTCGATTTAAATTTATCACAGGAAGAAAATCGCCAGAGCAGCTAACTGATTTATGTCCACCAACATTGTTTGGTTTAGGAAAGCTGATGATTCCTGTTTCCCACGGATGTACATTCAGGGATGTCAAAAGACATCAAAGTTGATTGTAATGGCAGGTATGACTTGTTTTCATGCCATTTGGAGCTCAAGACGTAGCAAATAAATCATTTGGAGCTGAAGCAAGCAGGTATTTCCATGGGTGTCCAAATCTATGAGAGCTGTTTGACATAGACGAGCATGATTCATTGATACAACTGTGGTAATGCTAAAACTCGACAAAACATTGTCTTAACTAATTGGGGTCGGCTAATATGTTATGAATTTTCTATCATCAAAGATTTTAACAAGTGATCTTACTTTTAGTGGTGAAGAGAGAAGCTTAAACCCAAAACCTCAAAACAGTCGCTACAGTTCAAGGCATGGGAGTAAATCCTAATTTCTACATCAGAAATGGTTGCTCTAGACTGTGCCATATGTCACTTGCGCCAATTCCAATCTTCTGGCCATTAGAACTTCATAAACCAGGCCACATGATTTCTAGCTATGCAGATATATGAACATTAACAACCACTTCAGCACTCCTGTTCTAGTGGGGAATCAATTGAATTGATCACACAGCCTCCAGGGACCTTCAATCTATGGCTTCAATCTTCTCAACCGTAGGACCCGTTAACTGGACACTGGTACTATGTTTTCCCACCATTTCTATTTCTTATTCCTCTTGATTTCTTAAAATAGTAGCTTTGAAACTGCATATATATTCATATTCTATTACGAATCTACTGCTCAAGACACACATATTTTTCATTCTTTCATGATGAAAATCTTAAACTATACTGTTATCAAAGGTTTCANATATTCATATTCTATTACGAATCTACTGCTCAAGACACACATATTTTTCATTCTTTCGATGATTCATGATGAAAATCTTAAACTATACTGTTATCAAAGGTTTCATTCGGAATTTGAATCATACAAGAGCTACATGTCATGCAATGGTCTGAATTACTTTTATTGACTCTATTAGTCTGTGTGCACTATAGAAAGATGGTCTCATAAGATTTTATACTTTAATATAGTACTAGTAAATGTTCATGCCCGAAGGCACGAAGTAACCAAAAAATCAACATATTGTGCCTCCTTATTTTTGTATCACTAACTGCAAGAAAATAAAAAAGTCAATAACCTAGTCTAGCATCACAATAGCAACCATACCGGATAACCACAACCTTGTCGTGTACAAATTAAACCACCCAAAATATGCTTTGTTTCTAAACACAATCTTGTATCTAAAAAGTGCCTAAATATGCTANACCTAGTCTAGCATCACAATAGCAACCATACCGGATAACCACAACCTTGTCGTGTACAAATTAAACCACCCATAATATGCTTTGTTTCTAAACACAATCTTGTATCTAAAAAGTGCCTAAATATGCTAAATTTTATAGTAGAAATATATAATTAGTTAGATAATCTCATGGATGATTAAAGGATGAAGAACCTCCCAAACAAGAAAACTCGACTTAAGAATCATGGTTTAGTATGTTCCAAGTTGTGATAATTTCATCAAGCCTTCAATGTGAAAAAGAAAAATAAAGTCCCAATTGCATCCAGCCTTGATGTAAGTATTGATTGGTTGCTCAAACACCTTACATGCATTATATCAAACACCTTGCATGCATTTTATCATCAAACAACTCGATGACATATAAATTCAAATCGAGCATTAGTCCGTTCATACAGTAACAAACCTGCACTCAAAAAATTGAGCATTACTCCATTCATACAGTCCCAAACCTGTACCCAAACNCCAATTGCATCCAGCCTTGATGTAAGTATTGATTGGTTGCTCAAACACCTTACATGCTTTATATCAAACACCTTGCATGCATTTTATCATCAAACAACTCGATGACATATAAATTCAAATCGAGCATTAGTCCATTCATACAGTAACAAACCTGCACTCAAAAAATTGAGCATTACTCCATTCATACAGTCCCAAACCTGTACCCAACTTTATAGTATTTCCTCTTCTTTATGAACTCCAAAATTATTCACAAACACATTATAAAACCCAGAATAAAATCAAGTCAATATGACGGAATTTACGTGATGCTTGCCAAAGAGTTGTAAACAAACCAATTGCTAAAGAAAGCATGCATGCAAAAATATAAAATTAACACATTCATACAGAACTACCCATTAAGTTGTCCATAAAGAGGTTTGGATCAATGAGAGGTGCACCCAATTATGAAGAGTTACTCTATAACCTGATCATAGCATACTAAAATTTTCATAAAACCAAGCAACATCTATATTCTTGAGAGTACATTAGAAGTTACATCCTGGAAATTTCATCCAAACAGAGAGTTGAAATTATCGAATTATCTACCAAAAATCATAATGTGAAAATTATAGAAATTACATCGATAAGAACTCATGCTTGATACAATATATTGAGAGAAATTCGTATACATCCCATCAAGGCAAAGAAATTTTGATCGATTATCATGCAAGAAACGTTTCTGCTTTGCTTTGTACATAAAAGAACAATCCAATTATCAAAATGTAGATAGTATGAAACCTAATTGATCTCAAATTTGTGGCATCAAAATCCACTTAAAAATTCACAACAAATATAACCATAAAAATCTGAAAAATTATGATAATGCAAAAAAGAAATACCTTGTTACAACTTCTAGGGGTTGGTATGCCAAGGTGGTGGAACCAAGCAAAGCTCACCAATTGAATAAATTATATCTAGCCTGCTCAACAAAAAAAAAAAATAACATCAAAGCTCACCAATTGCATAACAATAAAAATAAAAGGACTTCGGAGGCGAAAACAAATGTACCATTCGATCAAAAACTAGTAAGGTGAACTCTTACTCTAGTCCAAGTACCATTAATCAAAAGGTATAGAATCCAAACCTACTTCGGTGGACACCATGAATTATTCAACACCAAGTTCACAACGTATTGAAACCTAAGATAATGAAGAATGAAATTTAGGTCAAATTTATATTGAACTATTCAACAAAATGCCAAACTTTAACTATCAAAGGCATCTTTTGAATCTTACAATCCCCAAATGACTAATCCGAAGACCCATTCAAAAGCATCAAATGAAAAACCTATATACATCTACAAACCCAAAGCTTCAAACTCCACATATTGAACTCACATCAAAAGACGGACCCTACAAAATATTTAAAAGACCATTTTGGAAACCTTAAGCATTGGGAGGAACTCACCTATATTCAACCGACCATTTCGGAATTTTAATCATATAAGAGCTACATGTCATGCAATGGGCTGAACTGCTGTTATTGACTCTATTAGTTTGTGTGCACTATAGAAAGATGGCCTCATAAGTTCTTGTGCTTTAATATAGTATATGAAATTGAAGCTTTGGATCATGTACCTTGACTTTTTGATATATAAGTCTGTTTTGCTGCAGAGGCAGTGAAGTTGATCTGGATATGTATTTGAATTATGTGGCTTGTTTAACTTCCATGCGGTTGAGCTTGAACAGTTCTAGTTCTGGAGGTTCAGTCCCAAGCTCGGCTTTTTTGGGCAGCAGTTTTAAGAAGGTGAACTCTAGATTCAGTAACCAGAAGGCTGAGTCTAAAGTGTTGAAGATTGTGGCTGAAATTAACGATGAAAAGCAGACAGACAAAGACAGATGGGGAGGCCTTGCCTATGACGTTTTGGATGACCAGCAAGACATCACTAGAGGAAAGGGAATGGTTGATTCTCTCTACCAAGCTCCCATGTGTGGTGGAGCACACGATGCTATTTTGAGTTCATATGAATACATCAGCACGGGACTTCGCCAGTAAGACACTTAGAATTTCCATTTGAGATGTTGGGTTTGTGGTTTTGAACTGATTCTTAATTGTAAGATTCCAATAATGCTTTTCAGATACAACTTGGATAACAACATGGACGGATTCTACATTGCTCCTGCTTTCATGGACAAACTCGTAGTCCACATTAGCAAAAATTTCTTGACTCTTCCTAACATCAAGGTGAGTCTAAATAGATTTGAGAATCCATGAAATTTTTCATGACTCAACCTTGATCTGGGAAAGAGAAACCAAACACTTCCATGAATTTGTAACACCTTAGATTCTCGGAATTTGGGGAGGCAAAGGTTAAGGGAAATCATTTCAGTGTGAGCTAGTCTTTGCCAAAATGGGAATCAGGTGAGTCCATGATCCTATTGGTAAACCAGTGTAATTTAAAACATCTCTTGATTAACAATTTATGTTTCGTCTTTAAAACACTGTTTTGTGATCCTATTTGATGTCATTGTAATGGACCTTCAGCCCAATTATGATGAGTGCTGGGGAACTGGAAAGTGGGAATGCAGGAGAGCCTGCCAAATTGATCAGGCAAAGATACTGTGAAGCAGCTGACATAATCAAGAAAGGAAAAATGTGCTGCCTCTTCTTCAATGATTTAGATGCAGGAGCGGGAAGGCTTGGTGGAACCACCCAGTACACTGTCAATAACCAGATGGTGAATGCCACCCTTATGAAGATTGCAGATAATCCCACCAATGTCCAGCTCCCTGGTATGTACAACAAGGAAGAAAATCCCCATGTGCCAGTCATAGTCACCGGTAATGACTTCTCCACCTTGTATGCCCCCCTTATTCGTGATGGTCGTATGGAGAAGTTCTATTGGGCTCCTACTTAGAGAGGATCGGATTGGTGTTTGCATTGGAATCTTCAGGAGTGACAATGTTCCAGAGGAGGATGTTGTCAAGATTGTTGGCACTTTCCCTGGCCAATCCATTGGTAAGCTAAGTGACAAACTAAATCTAACAGCATTGGTAAATAATAGAAATTTTTGAAACTAATCAGCAAACTGTCATACATTGAGACAGACCTTTTTGTGCCCATTCTTCAGACTTCTTTGGTGCCCTCAGAGCTCGAGTTTACAATGATGAGGTGAGGAAGTGGATATCTGGTGCTGGAGTTGAGAACATTGGGAAGAAGCTTATGAACTCAAAAGAGGGTCCCCCGCCGGCTTTTGAGCAGCCCAAAATGACACTCGAGAAGCTTCTTGAGTATGGCAATATGCTTGTCCAGGAACAGGAGAATGTCAAGAGAGTTCAATTGGCAGACAAGTACTTTAAGTGAGGCAGCTCTTGGAGAATCAAATGAGGATGCTATTAACAGAGGAACTTTCTATGGTTAGCTAGCACCTTTCACCCTAGAGGTCTTTCCTAATTAATCATGCTGTAAGAAGAAGTGTTATTTGAACATTTATTGTTTGTTTGGACACAGGTAAGGCAGCTCAACAAGTTCATGTTCCTGTCCCTGAAGGTTGCACAGACCCATCTGCATCAAACTATGACCAACAGCTAAAAGTGATATTGGGAGCTGCCAGTATTAAACCTAGATCAACTTTATTTCTCTTAGTAGGGGAAAAAGTTTTTATTTTTTTATTTGTATTTTTTGAAATGCCTTCTAAGAGGCATTGCCACTTTTCTTTTTATGTCCACTACCTCTAAGTTTTGCTGGTAAAGTCGAGCTTAATTAATTAGTACCTTATGTTAATGTCAATAAGTGATTTGAATACTCTGTTGTTTGTCTCGTTTTTCTTCTTGATAGATAAACAAAAGGGAGAAGCATCGTGTGCGTGAACTGTTATGCGAATAAGTTTTTTGTTTTTTTTGAATTTTTCAGACAAAATTATTTGTTACAGTTGAAGCCATTAAAGAAAAGCTAGAACCTTTTTAAGAACACAGTTCACAAAATGAAATGCATTCGAGTTTTTCTGCTTTGAGAGCAAGCTCATGAATCATGATGAATTTAGAGTCATATATATTTTTTTTTGCATTTCTTAGAAACATGGGGCCATATATACGGTGGCATCCACCTAAGTTACTGAGTAGCAAAATAAGACAGAATCCATTGATTTGCCAAGTGATCCTTGGTAGATCTCCAGATCGAAGTAAGGTATTACAAAAATTCTGCGACAACCACTGAACCATAAAGCCATTGAATCTCCAGCGCGCTATTATCGATTCAATCATACGCAGTAGTTGATTCCAGGCAGAAAGTCATTTAATCTCTGTGTTGCTTCATGTTTGGAAATAACTTTGTTTACAAGATTCTAAAAATAAATTAGTCGACTCATTCTTCGACAATCATCATAACATTCTTTTAGAAATGTCCCTTATACTCTGTTTCTGACTACTCAATAGTCAGTGAATTTTTTTCACAATAAGTAATTTCTGCAGAGGGATAAAACTTACATCGATTCTGTTTCGAACAAGATGAAGAATACTACCCTGGTTCATAGTTAAATTCTGGGTGGTTTAAGCAGAAAAAAAAAAATCAAAAAGACCACTGCCATGGATTTCGAATGCAAGATAACGTATGCTGCTTCCTTTCTATTCGTATTAAGGGATTTACTAACTCAAAAAAAAGATCTACAACTTGAGAGCTATTAAGGCAGTATCCAGGTATCTGCCCATATATTGATAAGTAAAAACAATTCTCAAACAAAGAGTTATTTTTACAAAGCAAAAGCATTAACACCACATCAGGCATATCCACTACATTGAACATCTTGAATTCAGCGGCCAACGTGGAGGACAGAGTCGTTGCTGGACATCGATTGAACAGAAATCTTCCCATACGATGACAATTCAAATGAATTAGGAGCTTCACTGCCCATTACAACCATCCCAACTCCTGCACTGTCAATAAGTATATCAGGCAAAATTGCATCCCCATCCAAAAACTGCATCACTTGCCTCATGCTAGGCCTAGCCGCCGGATTAGAGTGAGAGCAAATAAGACCAAGCTTCAAAACCAATTCCATTTCCTCCAACACATAATCCCCTCCCAATTTAGGATCACACGTCTCGAGAATCGTTCCTTGTCTCCATTTCTCGAAAACCCAATCAACCAGAATCATCTCTTCAGGCAATCCGTTCACTTCCATAGGCCTCCTTGCACAAGCCATTTCGAGCATAAACGCCCCAAACGAAAAGACATCGGTGCTCGTAGTTGCCTTACCAGTTACAGTAAGCTCTGGCGCGAGATAGCCAACGGTGCCAACCACATGAGTGGTTTGAGGGTTTGCACCATGATCATAGAGCCTGGCAAGCCCAAAATCTCCGAGACGCCCGTTTAGATCACCGTCTAACAGAACGTTACTGGCCTTCACATCTCTATGTAGAACAACTTGTTCCCACTCTTCGTGCAGATATAGAAGGGCTGATGCTATCCCTCTGAGGATTCGAAAGCGTTGAGTCCAATTAAGATATGGTTTTTCGTTGCTGAATAAGAACTTGTCGAGACTTCCATTTGGCATATAATCATAGATCAAAAGAAGCTCTCCCTTTCCTCGGCAGTAGCCAAGGAGGGCCACCAAGTTCCTATGCCTTAGCCTTCCCATGGTGGCAAGTTCAGCCACAAATTCTTTCATCCCTTGAGCCGAATTATGAGAGACTTTCTTCACTGCAATTTGTGCATTGGAAGATGGAAGTACTCCTTTATAAACCTTTCCAAAACCTCCAGCTCCGATAAGCTCTTCTTCCTTGAAGCCTTTGGTTGCTTTGTATACATCCTTGTAGAAGAACCTCTGAGGTCCATATTCCTCTTCCCAATCCTCGCGTATTTCTTCATACTTTTTTTTCCGTTTGATGTAAGCAATCCCAACCACAGTGATGATCATCACAATCAGTACTGTTACGGCTGAGACTGTAATTTCTAGAACGGGTATTGTTCTTAATTTTCTGGGCTTGGGAGATTGAGGAAGTTTTGAGGGATCTAAGATTTGTGCTGCCCCAGTTTTGTTGAAGCTCCACCCAAGAACATAATGGTTGCTTGCCACAGCTGACCCTGTAGCTGCGGAGAAACCAACATACATAGATTCGTTGAAAATTTCAGAAAGATCAACAGCCCTTGACAAGAGAGGTCGATTGGGTCTCGGAATTCTGATCGGAGCAATTGTAACGGTGAGAAACTTTTTCACTCCATCATAATCGATCCAAACCTGCAGTGGGTTTCCACTCATAAGCTGCAAGCTCTTGTTCGTCCCCTCCCGGTCGGAAAAATACGCCGCCGTCGCCGAAAAATTGGATGTAAGGCTATTGAGATCAATACCCACATGATTGCCGTCGATATCTTCAAACTCAGGGTTCTTCAGAGTATCAAACTCAACGGCGAACATGTGGTTCGATGCCAGACCGTTGTTGGAAGCGTTGAGAAGACCCAAATACTGGTTCGTCAGTGATGCGGGAAAGATCACCGACGGCGAGATGGTGAAGGCGAAGCCATGGCCGTTGGGAATTCTGGGTTCAGGAACGATGGCGAAGACAAAATAGGTGGAAAAAGAGAGAGACTCAGATGAATTTGACGAGGAGGCGTTGAATTTCAGTTGTTGAGGATAGAAAGCTCGGCCAACCTGTCTTCTTGAACTGTTGGTTAATTGCAACAGACCATTGGGGTGGACGTTTGTGAGTCCATCTTCACGAAGTTTGGCTTCACGGAAGCCATGGTAGATGAACTGGTCTTGAGCTTGAACTGAGGCCAAGAAGGTGAAGAGATTTAGAAGTGATATTTGAAAGATTATCAGGAAATGAACAGATTTAGCCATTAGAGGAGTGAGAAAATTAAGGATTTTTCTCTCTGGGTTAAGATTTGGATTGTGAAGAGATGTGTTCTTGGGTTCAACTCATTGTTCCTAGGAACCCAACAGCTCATACCCAATAAAGAGGCCAGTGGGTCAAACATGAAAGTCGTCGGGAAAATAAGCACCTCGTGGACAAGAAAAAAAAGAAGCAACTCATATTTTTTACTTTTTTGTTTCAACCATCTGTCCACGGTAACTTACTAACATTTTAATTTTTTTTTTTTTGATTAAAGATAAATTATTCAGGTTGGTATTAAATAGTTTATGAAAAAATTTATGAGACATAAATTTCTCATCATCTAGTTCTAAAAAATTACTAAAATTCGAACCCAAAATATTTATATTTACAACTCATTCTTGTTACAATTTGAACTAAAATTAAAATTGAAACATCTCATATTTTGGAAGAATGCCAACGATATCAAAATAATTATAAAATTCAGTTAACCATTCGCCATATATAACTTTTTGAAATATTTAAAATTTTTAAAATTTTTGAGATATATTACAAACCCTAAAAAAAATTATAACTTGTTCTAAAAAAATTATAATTATAAAAATTGTAAAAAGAACCCAAAAGATATAATTATTATGATTATCCACACTTTACTTGGAATTGCCCCCCCCCCCCCCAAAACAAATAATTGTATGATAAATCTTAAAAAATTATAATTTTTGATAACATTATTTCTTCAGTACTAATAAATAATTTTTGGTATAAAACATATTAATTTTATTAATATTCACAAATAAATCAGCACTACCACTATGATTTTTTATTTTTATTTTTAATTTTTGTGGGATATAGGCGGACCATAGTCATTTCCTTATTTTCACCTAATGGCAAAAATGTTATCAAGTGATTTTGATGGGTGAAAGAAGAAATAATTGTTTGTAGCTTCGTAGGTGGTGGAAAATTTTGGGTGGCAAGTGGCAGCGGCACAGGCACAGGCACAGGCACCCAAGGAAGACTTATCCTATATAATATTTCACTGCGTGGGAGACGGGGTAACGACCAATTGGTCTCCATTCTTTTTCGGTGTTTACGAGGGACCCACATAAACTAACATTATACTGGTCAATAAAGTAATGCCCCACCCCCAACCCCGACCCCGACCCCAACCCCACCTTGTGATAGCATTCCAGCATTTCTTTTTCTTTGGGTAACCGTGGGATTGGGTGATTATTAGGGTATTTGTGGATCGAGTAGTATTGTATGGTATTTAATTTGTGTTATTTTAAGTTTGTATTAAGGATTAATTAATTTTAAATTAATTTATTTAATAGATTATGTCAGATATTTTGAAGGACTTTTTTATTATTATGTAAATCATTTGTATAAATCATGATTAAAAATAATAATGTAAGACCATGATTATATTATTTCTTAATCAAATTCATTCAACCTAGAATTTTTTTCTAATTAAAGAGGAAAACTTAATTTATATAATAGTAAAAATAAATAAAAAATGATTAATATTCATTTTGTAATTAGCGGCCTTAATTGTGGGTCAAAACGGGCACCGTAGTTTTAAGACACAACGGTCCGTACAAGGCATGAGATTCTGGAAGTCAGCCAGCCAGTCCTCTTCGGCGGCTGACAGAACTGATGCTACATTCATACGTGGCTTAGCCACTGCACAACCTCTACGATGGTATCATAGTCCAGCTCACCTAAGGAACGCAGGCTGCAGCTAAATTGGTCAAACTGGTTGGGGTTGGAATTTTTGGCTCGATACGCTAACACGGTACGGTATGATACGATGTGATGTCTATACAAAATTAATAAATTAAAATTTATTGTTTTTAATAGAAAAAATTATATTCAGAGTGATGAAGTTTGATACTCGATTATTCAGATTTTTTAATATTTAAAATATTATATACATATCCCTTAAAATTTATATTTGCATAACACTTACACCTTCATTATAAATATTTTTATTAATAACCTTAAAATTTGTAAACATATATTACTTATACTTTTTAAGTTTAAAATATTATATTTATATAAACAATACTTCAATCAAAGATAAAATATCAAATATTTTAAATTTTATAATTAAAATTCATGTTTTATTGTATCATGTATTGAAATAAAATAAAAAAATAAAAATTCAATTTTTTCTTATAAAATCATAATTAGTATACAATTATATTGTTTATTGTAATTTAATTTGGTCGTTTAAAAGACGAAATTAATATACCAAATGCATAAGATAGATCCTGCAATCTCGTAAGGTAGCGGTCCCTTGACTAAAAAACCTGAAAAAACAAGGTTAGAAGAAAAGGGGTCAGGCGTGAGCCCGACGAATCCCCTCCGAAGCTTAAGTCAGTAAGATCAAATGGATGTTTTTTAGTCAATGAGCTATGATTTGATTTTGCATACATTTGTCCATTTTTCTGAGAGATATTTATACCTAAATTAACAATGATTGCTCTAGATCTTCAGTCCCATCTGGACATCTCACATCTGACTCACCATCTCTCGTGCTGTGAATGCTTCCCCTTTACGCCTCCTCGAGTTGAATGCTCGGGGAATGGTATAAGTGCTTGGCCACAAGCCGAACATTTATACTACGAGCCGAGCAGCCCAATCCAAGAGGTCGGCGTCTGACACCGACAGGGCACGGACTACTCGGTGGATCAGAGAACTCGGGAGAACCAATCGCGTTGTTTTGGCGCATCAGTCATTAATGCTTCAGTCATCACGACAGTAGGCATAGACTTGCAGAGAGCAGTTGGTGGCAGCTCCGCATTTATTTGTCTTGTCACTATCATTCATCTCGCCATAAATGCGAGGTCACATCGCTTTGACTATGATGCCAACTGTTGTACTTGGCCGCTCTGTGTCACCATGTCTCGGCTCACTCTCTCGGCATCTTTCAGACATCCTAAGGACTTTATTGGGCCACGTGTCACCTTGGGAGTTGAGGATCCACACAGGAGTCCCGTCAACTGCCCCCCAGCCGCAATCCCTTACGCAGTGCTCGACAAGTGGAGTGAAGGGATTGGGGCTTTATCACCATGCCTCATTAATGGTGACGGTTGCTTGCACGTCTGGTGCTGCCCTTTTCAAATGCCCTAATGATGAGCCAACTCCTCGATTCTCGCTCCTTATGAGGCACTATAAATAGGGGGTTTCTCTGCCTTCTAAGAACTTCTACATCCTTCATCTCTCCTCAGCAATTAAACCCCGAGTGCTCCCCTGTCCTCCGAGTTTCCCTGGTTCTCCAAGCTCTCTTTGAAGACCAACCTCCTGTAAGTACTTCCACTTGAACTTTTTCTCTCTCCGTTTCTTCNCCGAGTGCTCCCCTGTCCTCCGAGTTTCCCTGGTTCTCCAAGCTCTCTTTGAAGACCAACCTCCTGTAAGTACTTCCACTTGAACTTTTTCTCTCTCCGTTTCTTCTACATTTCGCCCTCTTAGCTCTCACCGATGGCCAGAACCAGTAGAACTAGGGGGGACACGTCTGTTAGGGCCAGTTCTACCCACAAAATGAGGAGAACCCAAGTAACAGACGAGAACATCTACAACTTTAGGGTTAGGTACCATATTCGCGAGCCTGTCTTCACCTTTCCCTTCAACCCTACTCGCCATAGGAGGGACATGGGAAGTGAGGACATGATGCCTTTCTGGACGAAGGCCATCATGGAAGGAGGGTTGACCTTCCCCCTCCATCCTCTGTTACTGGGTGTGCTGATGCAATTGAAGCTTTTTCCCCTTCAGTGCGGGGTTAACTTCTTTAGGATTATGATAGGCGTAGTCACCTTAAACACTCGGCTTGGGATTAACTTGGGGGTAGACGAAATTTTGTTCTGCTATGACCTAAGGCTAGTCGTCGGGGGACGATATTACCTCAAAGCTTGAGATCGCTCGATGTATCTGGTAACCCACATGCCTGACTCGGACAAGGGGTACGTGGACGATCTGATCATGCTCAACGGCGATTGGGAGAAAGGGACCGGGCCCGAGTATGACGAATTGTACTGCCCCAAAGTGTCGAGGGATGAAGGTGTGTTGTCGTTCCGACTTCTTAATTTACATCTTTTTTTAGGTCCGAGGGACATACTAGTTTTTGCTCTATTTTCGCAGAAGGATATCGTCGGGACGCTGCTCAACCGCCGAGGTCGCAAGTCCGATTCGCTGATCTGCTAAAGGTTTGGTCCTCGGACCCAGTTGAACGAGCGGCGCACACCCTCCTTGGCTATACGCCAACCTACAACCGATTCTCCTAGATCCCTCCTCCTTTCAACCCTTTCGTTTGGAAAGATCACTCCTCATCGGAAGAGGAAGAATTCGAGGGTGGTTCAGAAGAGGAGTCTTGGTATAACGCTACCGAGTCTCCTACACTCGACATGTTTAATTCACCACCCATCACTGCAGCAACCATGGAGGTCGCCGCCTCGACAAGGAGAGCCAGACTCGCAGGCTTGGCCGGGCCTTCCAATTCGACGCCTATCATTCTTCAACCTCATCCCCCTCAAAAGCAGCCGCCGTCGCCGCGTGCGCGACCCAGAGATTCGGCCGTGCCGATCAGACAGAGGGCCCAACCTTAACAAGTCCAAATTCCAATAGACCGACAGAGGGGCAGATGTGCCTGGGAAGCCGAACAAAATGAAGAGCGACATGTAAAGCAGCGGCATGATGTCACGGCCCCCGGGGCCCTCCGTCTCGGGAGAGTGGGTTGGTCGGGCCGAGAGCAGAAGTAGGCAGCCCGTTTTGGAAGCCAATTCAATCCTTCAATCTCCCAAAGTGGACTTAGCTGTTGCAGGGACGCTTCAGTTTAAGGCCGACATGGCCGTGTACAAGGGTTATTTAGACAACCGGCTCCTGACAAGCACCCTCCAAAACACCTTGGTGGTAAGTTGATCGCCTCCCCGAGTAGCCATTGTTCCCTTTTGGTCGTTTACTGATATTTCTCTTCTTCCAGACTAGCCAGCAGGTGGGAGCCATCATCAAACGCTTTTGGAAATACAAGCAAGAGGCGAAGAACGTCAAGCGAGCCACAGCCGCCAAGGACGACCATATTTTGAAGGTTGAGAGGACCTTCGGCGATCAGACTAAACACATTGCCGAGCTCATCCGCCAGCGAGACG